GATTTCAGAAACGATGATAAAAGGATTATGTTCGAACTTCGAACTAAGAGGGGACATCCCCTCCAAGACGAATGAGGGACTAGAAATTGGTTAGGGCGGCGGGTCGTATCCATAGGGTTTAACCTCTTAATCGATATAATTAAACCGGGTACAGTTAGGTTGAAGTCCAATGAAAAACGCTTAAACGCTTCGTGATGCTTTTGGTAATTTTCCTTGCCCCTGGTTACCCGTACCCCGGATTTTGCCCTGGTAGGGTGCCCATATATATACATATATATGGCATCAGAATGGGAGGGCTTTTGATCTGCCGCCTACCGAAACTTTAACACACGCAAACTTCTTTGGAGGTCGATCTAAGTGTACGTCCTGTCTGAGAAGCGCATCCTACAGGGCGATCATTGGAGATCAGCCCTCGGCCACTCCATTTCGGTTGAAAATCAGCGCACGGCGGGGACACAAATTTCATGCTGGGTATTCTCGATCGATAACCTCTTCAAACTGAAGCTCGTTGGAAATTGACTGAGCCGTGTTGTTATAGCATGGGAAGGGAAATATTGATTAATTAATTAGACAAGGAATGGTTGCAGTGGCTGGATCAATTAGTGGGCACTGGGGGATATGCGGAAGCGGTGTAAGTCGAGGAGAGAACGAAAGCCAAAGCATTTTCATTCCAGGGGAAGGATAGGATTGCAATGCAATGCAATGCAATGGTGACTGAATGCTTGGAAATAATTGGTTAGTGGTTTCAAATCGGAATATGGGTTTAGGGATTGATTTTGCCATGCTTGGTACAGGTGGTGTAGTTCTCAATGGCCATGTTCATCAGGGGAACGAGTAAAGCGAATGTGATATGTGGAAATTAGTCATGGTTTATCACATAGCATCATGTTAGAAAGTACATGCGAGAGACAGTGTTACGGACAACACTTGCTAGCTAACTTCAAAGTTAACAAGGTGAGTGTAAAGGGGTAAATTCTATGCTTTACGTATTCTTTTAAGTATTAAGATTTCAAGTATTTTGGCGATGTGGTTACCGTTGCTTGTGAATGCTTCTTGCTGATTATATGGGTTTTGTTTGTGATATGACTTGAAGTGAATGTGTATTATTTATCTTAAAGCTTTATGTTATGGTTAATTATTAGAGTTTAAGAAGCAAGTTCCTTTTAAGAAGTACTTCACCTTTCAATGAAGGTGAAGTCGTTTTAAGTGTTTTTAGTCACTAGCGCCAGTCCGTTGCCATTTGAGATATTTAAGTTGAGCAGCAGTTATGCTCTTGAGATATTTAAGTTGAGCAGCAGTTATGCTCTTGAGATTTTTAAGATGAGCAGCAGGCATGCTCTTGAGAATCGTGGAAGAAGAGCATTCCACGATAAGTTTAAGTTTAAGGAAAGCCTGGAGGGCTTCTCTTCTCATACGTATGAGTTGGGCAACCAGACTAGCTAGTGAAGGATCCCCGTGTCAGTCAAGCATTTAAGTCAAGATTTGAGCTTTAAGAGAGGAGAGTAACTTCAACTCCCTCAAACTTTAAGAGTTAAGATTTTTAAGAGTGGAAGTACAAACAAGTTCCACCAGTTAAAGTTAGGTGGTTAAGTAAAGTACTCAAGTATTATAAGTATTAAAACATAAGGGTGTAGACTGACCCCAACTCACTCACCAATTTGAAGAGGAAGAGTTGGATGAGCAGTTAGAGAGACGGTTCGAGGGAAAGCAGCTGGAGGAGGACGGTACGAGCATCACAGAGGATGTCTAGTCAAGGTTATCAGTCAGCAGCAACATTTCAGTTTAATTAGTTATTATACTTTATGATTATCAGCTGGAGGAGGACGGTACGAGCATCACAGAGGATGTCTAGTCAAGGTTATCAGTCAGCAGCAACATTTGAGTTTAATTAGTTATTATACTTTATGATTATGAGTATAGACTGGAGATCAGGTAGAGACTTTTAATGTTTGAGTTTGCCCAAGTGTCAGGGATTCGAGTTTAAGTAATGACAGTTGTTTTCAGTATTTATTAAAGTTATTATGAAATGTTTCCGCTATTTTTCTAAGTATTTTTTTTAGTTCTTATTTTATGTCACTTTTTATCAAGGGTGTTTTGGTAAAAGTAGTGTCCGGCCGGACTAGGGTGTTTCAGTTCCCCACCACCATTTTCCAAGGCCGATACCAAGAGTTTTGTATCGGGATAGAGTTTCATCCTCTTTACTTTTTTTCTTTCTCTTTTTCCTTTTTGTTGAGCATGATCACAATTGAACCCAAACATATCGATATCCTAACTTGAACACAAATCATCGCCTTTGCCCACCATTTTGCAGCCCATCTCGAAGTACTGTGGGAGGAATCCTAATTTGTTCTCCACCACCGTTTCCCAAGGCTGCTACCACGATTTTTTTATCGGGACCGAGTTTCATCCTCTTTAGTGTTTTTCACCACCGTTTCCCAAGAGCGCTACCACATTTCGCACCATTTCGCAACCAACTTGAAACACTATGGATGGAATCCTAAGTTGTCCTCTTCCATCGTTTGCCATGGCCACGACCAAAGATCCATACTATATATGCTCTGTCCAATCCTCAACATCGCTCACCAATGCCACTACCGAAAATCCCCCTCCATAGTTTCCCAATGCCACTACCGAAAATCCATGCCATATCTACTCAATGTTGGAGAGTTTTGTATCGGAACCGAGTTTCGTTCGCATTAGTGTTTTTTTATTTCACTTTTTCCTTTTTGTTGAGCATGATCACAATTGAACCCAAATCCATGGGTATCCAACCTAACTCGATTCGGTCAAAGCGACTTGAAACCGACTTTAGCATTTATAAATTTCTCTTTTTATCTTTTGGTTGGAAAGACAATTGAACCCGAACTGACGAGTGTTGTATTGTGAGCGAGCTTTATCCGCGCGCTTTTGTAGTTGGCAGGTTAGACCAAGTGTTAATTTGTTAAAAAATTGTTCAAAGCAAGTTGAACATGTTGTTGACCAATTTTAGATAGAAAACGAGTTTTATATGCTTTATTGTTTTTTTAATTTCTCATTATCCTTTTCGTCGAGAAAGACAATTGAACGCTGACCCATTGTTGACGCATTTGGTATCGAAAGCGAGTTTTATCCGCTTTTGTAATTGACAAGTTGAGTAAATTGTGAATTTGTTAAGACTGGGTCGACCCGATCAAAGCGAGTTGAACGTAGTGTTGAGAGTTTGGGGGTCATGAGCGAGTTTTATCCGCTTTGGTATTTTTTTTTTTTTATCTTTTTCCTTTTGGCTGAGAATGACAATTGAGTCCAAACACATGGGTATACAACCTAATTCGACCCGACCAAAGCGACTTGAACCCGGTATTACATGGTTTCGGTGGAAGCGAGTTTTATCTGTTTTTGTAATTGGCGGGTTGTGTCAGGTGTGAATTTGCCCAAAACTCGGTTGAACCTAGTGTTGACGAGTTTTGAGTCGGTAGCGAGTTTTAGCCTTAGTGTTTTTCATTTCGCTTTTTCCTTTTGTTTGAGAAAGACAATTGAACCCAAATCCATGAGTATCCAACCTAATTTGACCCGATCAATGCGAGTTAAAATCAAACCTGCAATCAGTCCAAAAATTTCATAAAGGAGAATCACAATTACCTCAAACACCCCAAAAAAGCCAAAAGATTACAACTATATTTGGCCCAAATTTTAGAAGTTTTATGATACGAGCACGGACCCGGTACCCGTAGTTATCAAAGTAACGCAGCTCCAAGAACGAACAGGAAAAGAGATTTTTAGGGGTTTTTGTTTGTTTGGGGATAGTATGGAATTGAAAGTGCAATCTCAACACGAAATCGGGAGAAGGCTCTATCAAAATAGGGTAGAAGCTTGACCACAATCAAGGGGAAAACTTGATTGATACAAAGCAGAAAATTCTCAAGCCTAAAGCTCAAAGAACAAGGGAAATATCAATAGTCATCAAAGTCTGACCCATTCATAGGCAATTCCTCCTCTATTTATAGAGGTTACAAAACAATGTATCTACCATTAATTAAAGCTAAAAGTCATCTCCTATCAATTAAGGAAAGAAAATAACAAAAGGGAAAGAAAATAAATTAATAATCTACCCAAAAGGGAAAGGAAATAAAGCAAGGATCAGCCTAAAACGGAAAGGAAATGAAGCAAGAATCTTCCAAGAATCCCCCCAAAAGCAATGACTTAGTTCTCAAGTAATTCATTTCTTCCTTCTGCTGAGTTGGACCCTTCTTCTTGGACTCCAATGCTGGTGACTCCAATGAGGGGTTTTGGATCGCTCTATAGGATCACATCATTTTAGGTTTCAAAAGTTGAAGCCAAGTCAAACACCTCTAAAGTTCCGCTTTTTAAAAAGCTAAAAATTTTCGCAACTTAAAAGCAGAAGCTCCGATTTGAAAATACAAAATTGTCATTACCATATATTATTCTTTTCTAGAAAACATAATGTTCTTTCACTATCATTATAAAAAAAGTAAATTGAAAATAGAATTATTTAATATGAATTAAATCTAACATGATCCATTCTAAATATTTTTTATTTTTAGAATTTGTATTCATATTTTATGTTAGAAATCTTAGTTAGTCATTTTACATTACCTCTTACATTATAAAATAATTCTGATAGTTTTTCAGCTAAGCACTCAACATTTTTTTTAATACTTCTTGAAAATATCGAGAGAAGTTATTTCATTCTGCAAAAATTACATTAAGATCAACTACTAGCCGTACAAATTGAAACAATAGCGTCATGAAAGAAGTTGAAACATAAATAATATATTCGACGACATTTCTACCTTATGCAAGTTCATCGACCATATACTATTGTAAATAACAAACCTATAAAAAAATAATTAAAAATAAAATAAGATTATTTTTACTTTTGGGTCAATATTACAACTATTACTCTTTAAAATACTTATTTTTCTGATACAGGAAGCGATAGCATAGTACGTCTCATTTAATAACGTAACAATCATAACCTAACAATCATTCGAACTTCGAAGAACTTTCAGTCTCTATCATTTGTCAACATTAATCCTCATGAACTCGAGGTAAGACTTCCCGTTCAATCTTCGAGCAAAGAACTCCTTGAAGTAATCCTCCACCGGAACTTGCTGAAACGCCGGTGGATTTCGTGGCCCGACGAGGCTACGAGCAGGCCCCAAAGTACAATCCAACTTGCAGCTGTAGAACGTTGCAACTGAGAGCCTCTCCCTTGTGGAATTCACTGCTGCCCTGTGTTCAATGCTCCGATAAACTCCATTGCTCACGATCTGCAAAACCCCATCGACGACAACAAAGTACTTGCATTAACAAAGAGTGCCATTTGCATAAACTGGATTGCTGACAGAAAATGAGCTACGGTATACCTCCATGATGTCCCCGACGTTAACAACAAAAGCGTCTGGAAGAGGTTTGATGGGAACCCATTTCCCGTCCTTACGAATCTGCAGACCTTCGGTCTCGTTCAGCTGGTACAGAATCGTCAAGGCATCAGCATCAGAATGCGGAGTAAATCCGATGGTCTTGTTGGGTTCGGGGCACGGTGGATAGTAGTTCATCCTGATTGACTGGACTCCATTCGTGAACAGGTCCTCCATTTCATTGACATCCATTCCTAAAGCTCTTGACATGTGACTCAGAATCTTCAGTGCCAGCTTTCTCATCTCCATAGAATAAGCTTCTACCGTCTCTCTGCAGAATTGCAAACACACACAAAAATGCAATTGGCTGAATTGTTCATGTATCAGAACAGCCAAGAGATTCATTCATTCATTCAACCTGCACTTGTGAGGGAGCTTGTCGAATAGCTCGTTCTGTCGAATATGGCGAGGCAGAGTAGTTATGTAGAACATATCATTCCAGTCTAGCTTCTGCTCTTCCGAAACCACAAACAGCTGCCCGAAACCCTCGTGGTTATGGGGCTGCTGCCACAGTTGCTTCCTCTTCTTCTCCTCGTATGGGAGTTGGAACAGATTCTCAACCTCAACCCTCAATTCCTCTAGCAATGTTCTACAAACTCCATGATTCACAACCTAATTTCAGTAATCCCAGTAAAGCCTAACTTATTCAGTTCGAGCAAGCAAAACAACATCTACATGGACAAATCTTGAAGGGAGTAGATTCGATTGTGGTGTTTACCTGGAAGAATCCCCAATCTTTGCAAGCAGAGTGCAAATTCCCCAACTCAGAATCGGAATCCATTGAACTTTCGTCACCGGAAGCAAGTTTTTGAAGATCAATCACTGGAACCGTCCAATCTAGGTCACCGGAGACGACGAGCGGTTCGATTTGGGGCCTTTCGTACCTCGGAGGAAGCTTTTCATTGCATTCCTTTGCGAGTTCTTGAACACTGGGCACAATGAGTGATCTCCCGAAGTTAACTGGTTCCACTGCCGGTGATGGCGGCGACGACTCCATGACCGTCGGCTTCCTCCTCTCCGAGTTCTGGGAAGTGACCGGAGCGGCGAGATTTCGAGGTTTTTCAAACCGATTGACAACCGACTTGGGGAAGTGGAAATCAATCTGCCGACGGCCGATGACGTGATAATAACGACAAACGTTTCCTTCTTCAAATTGCCAATTGATTATTCGGGCGGGGAACACGTTGCATTTGCAGTGATGATGATCGAGAGACACGTGGAAACGTGGGTCAGGCCCAGTGTCATTGAAAATTGAGGTTGAGGCCCGTAGTTACTAGAACTGATTTTCGGGCTTTCCAAACTAATGGGCTGGGCTTTCTCAACTGAACTTTGGGCCTCCGGATCTTTCTTCCGGCCCGACTGTTCGGCTTCCTGGCTCCACTTACCGTCCACCTTTTAAGCCACTGTCTCCTACCTCTCGAACAGAATTCCTGATTTCCCACCATCTTCCAATTCCAACGAACCGTCTCCAGGAAAAAAGAAAACTCTCCGTTAGAAAACAGCAGCCAAGAAACCCCGACGGCACCGGCCACCAAGCGATCGCGGTATGGCGGTGGAGGATTCGCAGAAGTCAGCGGCACCGACATCCGAAGAGGTCACCAATGCTAACCCTAAGCCGCATGGCGACGACGTCGCCGGGAGCGGCGAAGTGCCGGAAGGAGGAGAGATCGTCGGGGACAGCGACAGCTCGTCCAAGAAATCAAGCGCCGTGCCTTACAAGCCGCACCTGCTCGAGAATCAATGGACCTTCTGGTTCGATAATCCATCCGCCAAGTCCAAGCAAACCGCCTGGGGCAGCTCCATGCGCTCTATTTTCACCTTCTCCACAGTGGAGGAATTCTGGAGGTGATGATTCTTTCTTTTTCATTTCTTTTTGTGCGTTGATCGATGTGGAACGGCCTGATCTTGATGCGGTTTCACGAGCTTGTTGTCGGTTTATGGCTTTGCTTGAGCTCGATATGTTTTTGGAGGAGAGGAGATTGGGGCTTTGGTGCTTGGGTCCGTTGTATGGCGAAAGTTGATAATGTGGAGTAGATTTCTTTGATGCCTTTGTGTTAATGCTTTTTTCTTTGAGCCATTGTATGATGGGGAATCTTGAGCTTCTTTATATGGTCTCTGCTTATGATATCGTTTTTTGCTTGGGTAGTTCATAAACTGAAGGAATATCCTCAGAAGAATTTGGCTCTAAGTGTTACCCGGAACTCTTTTATCTGTAATTCGGTTGCTTGTGTCCTTTAATGTTATTCCTCGCCTGTGCGTCAGCTAAATGCACTGGGGTTTACAGCCTATAATCCTTCATATCTTCTGTGTCATTTTGTATATCTTAGGGGCCTTAATGAACTTATGCTTTGGATTGTTACTGGGAGCACATTGATTATAACTTGTTTGCACTCCATTTGCGGAGAAACGAATTGGGTTGGTTAGTTGGAGGACTTGGTCTCAGTTGTTGTGAACCTGTTGTTTTCTACATCTCAAGGTACTCGAGTTTCGATAGATGACTTCTCTACTAGCTTGTAACTTTTACCCTTTTTTCTTAGAGGCTTCAGCGTAAAAGCCACCATAGGTTGATGTTTTCATACAGTGCTTTGCATTCTTTAGTAGCTTTAAATTAGGGTCCCTGATTTATTGTTTCTGAGAAAACCTTGACAGCTAGATACCTGCTTGCTCTCTCTCAGTTGTTCTGTTTAGTGTTTGTTCACCGCAGTGAAGCCTTTCCTGATCTTTTTTTCCCCAGTATATCTTAGTTATTATCATAATCCTGACAGCCTTCCCGACAAGGGAAACAGCTCTCAATTGTTTAACTAACTCATGGGAGAATAGGGATAAATTAGTGCCGAGTTATTAAGTCACTAGAGCATATCATGCTCGCCTTTTTTTCCCTTGTAATGCTTTGACTGGAGGAGTGGATTTTGTTGGTTCATTTGAATACTGGTATTTGTATATAGCACCAAGGAATCTGTTTGGTAGAGAGACCCATGTATCCCATTTCTGTATTTGTTTTCTCATGTAAATCACTATGCCTTCTTTTTCTTTCTTTTGGATCTTCTTAAGATCCTAAGCCTCTATGCTGATTGACATTTTTATCTGGGGTTCAGTGTCTACAACAATATTCGTCATCCAAGCAAGCTCACTGTGGGAGCAGACTTCTACTGCTTCAAGTCCAAGATTGAGCCGAAGTGGGAGGACCCTATTTGTACTGGTGGAGGAAAGTGGACTGTGACTTTCGGGAAAGGGAAATCTGATACCAGCTGGCTATACACGGTAGGCTTTTAATCAGTATTTATGTATCTTCATTCTGGCAACTGTGTACATCATGCAGCCTCTCATTTACGCCATGTTATGTTTAGCTGCTAGCAATGATTGGGGAGCAATTCGAACATGGAGAAGAGATTTGTGGTGCTGTCGTCAATGTGAGGGCTAAGCAGGAGAAGATTTCTCTTTGGACCAAGAATGCTTCAAACGAAGCCGCTCAGGTATGCAGAAGATTATATAACATATATGCTCATCACATCTTTATTTGTTAGTGGATAATCAATGCACAATGTTGCGTGTAGCTGAGCATCGGGAGACAATGGAAGGTGTTCCTCGACTACAATGATGTTATTGGGTTCATATTCCATGTAAGTATGGTGTTTACAAATGGTCTCTGTTTCTTTTCACCTAAGCAAGCAAGTCGAAGTGTGTTTGACTCTGAATCGCTGCTGTCATTTTCAGGATGATGCAAAGAAGCATGACAGAGGTGCCAAGAATCGCTACACTATCTGAGCTGTTGAATCTCGTCTCTGAGAGCATTGAAATCCTGTCATGGAAGTCTCTGTCCTGGCTTGGGGACAATTAGGGGTAGATTCTTTTGTCATGTGACTGAAGTTCCATTTCGTGTCGTAATTTTGGCTCTCTTACCTTGAGATGCAGTAGTTTGCAGGAAGTAGGGACATATATAGCTTTACAGAGTTCCAACTTCCATGCAACCAAATTTTGGCTTCAAAGATAACGGTCGCTGTTGTTTGAAAATACTCGGACCTTGTTCTTCTAAACTACCAGTACGTTATAGTTTTGAACACCGAAAACTGATTTAGCAGATGGAGCGAAAGATGTAAACTTTTCTAAATTGCTGGTATGGTATGGTTTCTAACAATGAATGAAACACAACTAGTTCATCCTTAGATCGGCCAAAGACCGATTTAGCAGACGCACTCTTGTAAACCGCTGATGCGGTATGGTTTCAAACACCGAATAAAACATAAACTACATATATCGTCCAGTAATATATTAGCGTACCGAGACAGTTCACACCGTAGTAATTCTTCAACCCAGTCCACAACAACAGCAAATCGTGCGCACTACAAAGAACCACATCTATTCTATAACTGACGTCTACAAAATTATACTCATTTACAATCCAAATATCCCTTTCCTCTCTGCGAAGGTTAATTATTAACAGGCAGCAGTTCAGGAAGAAGAAAAACATGGAACACAAGCACTTGCTTAACTGATGTGGGTTTTTTTCAAGGCAACAGCTCGCCGTCCTCGACATCTCCATCTAACAACTCATCGACATTGTCGGTCTCATCGTCCTTGAAGAACAGACCTAATCGCTCCAGCGGGCTCAAGGGGCTTCCGAACGCACTTCCTCCACCCTCTCTTCCTCTGAAAGCTTTCTCACACCCTCTTGGACTGACTAACAGCAGCCTACACCCAGATAGATCTTCGAGTTCTTTCAATACCTCTTGGCTCGCCTCAATCTCGACACTTCTCTCAACCTGGAATTATAATATTTTTCAACGAAGGTATTATGATGCGACGAAAAGACTAGGATTGTGATTATGAAGTGCATGCCATAAGGTAGCAAGAATCAATCACCTTAAGCACTGCAACCCGGGCAGCTTCTCTTTCCCGTTGCCTTTGCTCCTTCAATTCCATCTCCTGTTGCCTCTGGGAGGCAGCTTCAGCTTCTTTGATCTGGGCTTCAATTCTTGCTTTCTCTGTATTGATAAAAAGGTTAAACAAAACTTAATATAAGAACTTTTAGGACAAACAAACAGACAGCTCTCGTAGGAAAATGAAAAGGGAACTAGCAACTACAATCAAATGACACACACTCGTGCCATCATCAATGCATATAAAGCTGTTTCATCCAGGAAGCGGAACAAAATATTCAAAATCAAGAAAGGGTAAAGTTTATTGCAGATTGTTAACACTAATGGAAAAGGTTCTCTCCCCTCAAAAAAACAATAAACCCAACATTGGAACATTTTTCCAGACCTCCAAGTTTAGAAAAATCAACAGAATGTAATACAAGGAAACATCAGCTGAACAACACTTTACAGTGCACAACGAAGATAGTAAAAAGGAATGCAATATAATTTATATAATTGTTTGATTATAATACAACAAGACAACAAATACCTTCATGGTGCATCCTTTCCAATCTCTCCTTTTCCCGCTTCATCTTTATTGATTCAGCCTTATCACCCTGAAAAATGGGATGTTGGGATTTACCATAAGCAAAGGCTTACATTACAGCAAGCAAATGCTTGTTCAGGACTTGTACACAACAGGCACAGGGAAAAAGAAAAGTGAGGAGGTAGAAGAAGAGACTAGGAATTACATGATCAAGTAGTGTTTTATGCTTTGCCTTCAGAATCGTGTATGCAAATCGTTCCTTAATTATTGCAGCACGTAGGGCTCTTTTTGGTGACATTTGGTGTGCTTCAACTACATCAGATCTCCAATCTAAGCACAAGCCCAAAACACAACTTAGAGAAAGATGCAGAAAGTAATCAAATAAAAAATTTAATAATTCAAAGACCAGAAGCCAGGCTGACCTTCTCCAGAAGTTGCATCAGTAATAGGCGTTACAAGCAGCGAACTAGGGCATACATTGTCCTCATCTGACGCACTCACGGTACCTTTTTCAAGTTCCATGATACAATCAGTCACTGAAAAGAGGCGAAATGCATGATTTCGGATAGAAAAGGGATAAAGACCTCACCATCAGAATCTGGATCTGACCGGCTCATCTGGGAAGTCGAGATAACATCTGGCAGACAGTCCTATTCAAAGTGCACATTGATATGTCATGCATTGACATTATATGGCCACTAAGGAGACAAAAAGAAGATGCAATAAAAAGTTGCCTGTCCTACCATTCTTCTAGTATCAGTGCTTTGGGAGAGATCTCTGCTAAATGATCCATCGCTGGATGCATCTGAAGCAAGACGTACACAAAGATAATCATCAATTATCAGTCACATATTATACACCAAATAGAAGGAGGAAGAGGAGGGTCAACTACCTGACAACACATTAACTGAATTCATCTGAAGGATACATGCACAAGGGCCCCTGCCACAAGTACCACATTTGCGAACCACTATCCTCATTGGTGGTTTGGCATTGACAAGACCATGAGCATGTCCAGGACCTTTTCAATTGACCATAAGGATACTGCTGATTAGCTCCTGTAATGAGCTATAAACCAGAAAATACAGTTGGTGCCACTTCATACCTTTGTGTGACTTCTGCACACAGCTATCAGCAGCTTCGGAATTCTTAACCTAGCAAACAAAACAGACCGAATGTCTTACATCACCACTAATTGAAATACATGGAAATGAAAGCAGCATCATGACTAAAACCAACAGCCAGCTAATAATAATGGGCAAGTTAGCTCAAGTTGAACAAGATAATTCAATACTTACCTCAACAGCCTGAGCACCCAAAGAGCCCCTTTCCACCTTCTCTTTTGATGGCTTTGAGTTTCTAGATAGCATAGCATTGCGTGGAGGTGGCGTTCTGGGGCAATTCTGTTTCATACAGTTGTTGCCCTTAACCTGCGCACCAAGTAACTTTGCCTTTCCATATTTTGACATTTCATAACTCCATTTATCCTCTAATAAACCCCATCTGGTGTCAAAAATTTCACCAAGCTCCATGGCCTGCTGATGCACAGGGTTACTTGGTGGGTTATACAGCATAGCATTGTCAAACGTCAACCTAACATCAGCTGCAAATTCTTCAGTACTGGCATATGCATTCTTAGACAACTTGGACTTTATGGTCCCAAGATCCATAGGATGGGATATGACGGTGAAATAATCAGGAATCATCAGTTTGACAGGATCCACTGGCTCAGAGAAAACCCAACCATCTGGATGGCCAGTAAGAACTTTCAGAAGAGCCAAGCACTGCTGCTTAACGGTACGATCCATTTTCCACCTCTTAAGCGGACGACCATCTAAATCCATTGATGGGCCACGCTTTTTAGAGCATGACACACCAATTTTACCATTCTGTGATGCACATGCCAGAGAATGAGAAGAAAGATCCGCAGACAACTTTTGTGCAACACTACACGAACTTGCCCCGGAATCAACTTCAGCCTTCGGGGTGGAAAATTTTATCTTCAAAATCTTCTTGGTAACAACAGTTTCGGCAGCTCCCATGATGATCAATTGCAGGAACACAGGTGCAGAAAGCAAAGGTTCCCCAATTACATGCACCTTATGAACCCATCTCCAAATGGGCCGTGACACTGGAAACTGAAATCATCACGGACGTATGGAAAACCTGTTGGGCGAAAGAACGCCACATCAGAAGGTTTGAATGCAATAATAGCAAGGGGTAACCCAAGTAAAGCACCAGAAAAGTAATCGCAGTTCAACCCCCATAACTCCTTTAGGCTACGGAAAGGACAAACCCTCCCCAGAAACATAGACCCAATTCACCCACGAAGAGCACGAACACATAAACTAGGGTTTCCCTAATGCAAAATCAAACCGCCGAAGGGACGGGAGAATCCTAGTACAGTATCACAAATTCTCAAATCCTAGGAAAACAAGGACGAAAACCTCAGGTGCACAATGGGTACCGCGCAGTATCTAGATCGAATCGAAAACGGGACAGAAAAGAAGCAGTGATTTCGAAAAGAACTGTAAGCAACCGACCGAAGCTATTTCCAAGGAACTTCACCCAAATCGACAAGCTCCATGGGATTCGCAATTCGAATCACACAGATCAAGCTAACCCTAGATGCCCTAGAAAGGAAGTAATTCGAAACAGTACGCAGCGCGATTTCGGGATCTCGGAGGAGACTTACCGTGGCCTTCCGCCAAATCAACAAGGCCTTGAAGACAGATCGAACGAAGCGAATGCCCCTCGAAGAGAGACGCGAGAGATAGACAGTCGTACCGCGACCCGAGCAAGCCAGCTAGCGACGACCTGCCGGCGAGAGAAAGTGGAGAGGGGAGAACGGCGAAGGGTAATGGAGGCGCGAAGGTAGTGGAGAATCAGATACTGGGAAGGCGGAAAAAAAAAATCTCTCTTTACTGGGACCTTCTCCTTCTCCTTGTTTTCTAGGGTTTTTATTTATATATTACGAATTAATTTGGGGAAATTGAAATTGAAAAGGAAAAGGAAGAAAAGTCTCGTTTGTCTGTCTGAAAGCAAATTACCGGCCGACAGCGACCTTTTTCATTGGAGGGTCAGTCCGTCGTCGTGTACGTTTTCTGTGTGCTGTAAAAATAATTAATAAAACAAAGTTTGGCCGCCGTTAATTTTAAAATTACCGCGTTTTTCTCTAACACTCTGTTTCCGAAAGAAGGGAGGAAAGTGGAGGGGAGGGGAAGGAAAAGTGGAGGGGAGGGATAATTTGGAGGTTAAGGAAATTGAAAGGAAAATGGTGTTTCATGAAGGAAAGTGGGAAGGAAAATGTGTATTGGGATTTGTGATGGGTATGTTATTTTATTGGATATATAATAGTAAAATAATTTGATTATATGTTGATATTATTTTCATTGGTTATGCGAATAAAAGTTTTACTTTCTTTTTAATTTTGTTCACATTTAAAAATCAAAAGTAGATGGTTTTAATTTTTTTATAATTTATTGTTAAAATTCTGTTCGCTATTTTATTAATTCACCAACTTAGCAACTAAAAACGTAAACATACAATACACTACACATAACAAATTTGTATATATTTAAACCTTTTGTATCCGTATTATTGTCAAGTAGTTTCATTTTTATGTCACATGTAACATTTTTATGTATCGCGTAAAACAACGTTATGCATGTCGTAATTCATTGTACATAAAAATATCGCAGGTTCAACCAGAAAAATTATGTGTCAAAATCCAAATCGGTATAGGATTTTATCGATATGAAATGGTTGAACCATAATTTAAATAAACTAGCCTACTATTAAGTTATTCGATAGAACCCCTACAATTTTATAATTTCATTTCAATGGCTACGTTCAGTATAGCAAAAGATAAATTGGTTTTATTTTAAATTTATTAATCAATTAATAGTGGACTAATTAACAAATGAAGGTTGAAGTAAAAAATAAATATAATTTGTCTCCCATTTCCGTCCCCTTATTAAGTAATATAATAATGAAAAATAAAAAAAAAACCTTATACCCAATAGCCAACACGCAACAAAAGTGATTTTCCCTCTCTTTCTCTCCAAATCGGAGGGTCGGCTCCTACAGTGTCGCTTTCCCTCCCTTCCTCCTGTACATCAACTTCAAGAACAGAGGAAAGCTCCTTGGTACCCGTGTTTCCCCACTTGCTTTTTCCCTCACCCCTTTTCTCTCCTTCCCGAACAGGGGGTAAGTGAAATGACTGGTTAGCCCCCCTAGTTGACGGTCAATTGGTCAAGGGCTAACATTTTGATGAGAAGTACTTCAACTTAGGGGTGGGCGGGTGGCAACTGGTTCGGTAAACTAGAACCGAACTGAAACCGAAATCAAAGTGGTGAATGCATCATCGTGGTTGACGGTCGCGGTGAATGCATGATCGTGGTTGACGGTCGCGGTGAATGCCTAATTTAACACTGAAACTTCAAACAAACGTAACTTTGTGCTCGGTTATTCGATTGTAGCGAAAATTTTTTGATTCCACATAACTTTTCATGCTCTTTCAATCTACAACAAACCTTCATCCCAAAATAATTTGTTTGCTACCCCGAACGAGCAATTTTTTGACTTTGACAAACTTTGAAAGACCATAACTTTGTGCTTCACAATCCGAATGTCATGAAACTTTTTTTATTTCGCATAACTTTTGAAGGACTACAACTTTGATCATAACTATAATTTTGGAAAGTATGTGGATTTGTGAAAAGCAAAGGCAAAGTTATTGCCAAAATCCTGTATACCCAAAAATACTTCTTTTTAAAAAAATTCTTTCTTAGTAAAATTTGTAGTTCTTAAAAATTTATGCGCAATCAACAAAAACTTTACGACGTTCGGATTGAGGAGCTAAAAGTTATGGCCTTCCAAATTTTGGCAAAATCGAAAAATTGCTCGTTCGGGGTAACAAACGACATTTTTTTATAGATTAAGTCTTATTGAAGATTGAAAGATCTTGAAAAATTATATGACAAAAAAACGCTACAATCGGATAACCGAGCGCACAGTTACTTTGTTTGAAGTTTTCAGTGTTACGTCAGGCATTCAACGCGGCCGTCAACCGCGGTGATGCATTCACCGCTTTGGTCTGCCGCGGTGAATGCATTCACTGCAGTTGACAACAGCGGTGATGCCCAAACATGTGTATTTTGAGAATTTTTTATAACGTGTATTTTGGAAATTTAAAAAAAAAACATATGTATTTTGGGATTTCATCCGTTGTTTTTGGACTTAAATATTTGAAATGTTTACGACTTATGTGTTGAAAAGTTTGATTTTATCATTGATGATGCATATAATTGCATATTTATTGTTTATATTAGGGGTGAAAAATAATTTAAAAGTGAGAAGATACAAATAGCTTCACAAATTCGGTTTTGTGTGAAACCGAACCAACCAAATTATAATTCGATTTAAACAGATCAATCGAATTATAATTCGGTTCGAATTCGGTTTGAGGTTTGAGAGAATTCGGAGACCCGGTATTCATAATTTCGATTAGGTCGAAACCGAACCGACTGAATGCCCACCCTTACTTCAACTTACATATGCCTTTTTTTTTCTAGGGTAGCAATAACAATCAACATGTTTTAGTAAGTTTACAAAATTATGAAGTAACTTAAGTTTATTATATGAATCATTATCATCCATATAAGATTACTCATTTTTCTTGAGTACTATTTAAATAGTGCATGGTAGAAGACTTACACCTTTGTTATTCAAATAGCACAACTTGATTGGTGCACTATGTATCAAAAATAACCAATATCTTTATAATCGGACGGGAGTGACTTGTGTAGCGGGCAATTCATACTTTATTGGACGTTTAAATGGTACTGAACAGTTAACGAACCAGTATATTATAAACAAGAATATCATAAGTACAATACACATAATAGATCAAACCATGAGTCCAAAACATTATACATTACTCATAAACAAAAGATGGATACTAAAGTTATATAGTTCGAACCCGAGGGAAGCGTCATCACTTGGTATCTGACCAAACTCTACTTCTAAACCACTTATATTGTGTGTTGTCAATAGTAAGTAGCACACTAATACTTTTAAATTTACTGTTAACACAACCGCATACTTTTCATTACAAAGATCATGAATCATTACATGAAGTTCTTGGACTTCTGTCACAACCTTGGATTTAACCATTTTGTACTCAAGGACTTGAACCGAAAGAACACTTCCGTTGCCTGAAATCTACACCAAAAATTATGTTGGGTGGGCAATTGGACTGATCATGCAAACCCAACAACTTCGATGTAACCGGTTCGATTTTGGGTGGTTTGAACTAAATTATAGCCAAATTGGTAAGGTTCAAAAAATCCAATAAAATCTTTTGCAAAAAGCCAAAGCCAAGTGAGCAATAACATCACAAGGACTAACTTCTTATCATTCTCTTACTAGCCATAGTGGACTACTTCATCCATTATCCACTTTCACTTTCTCATTTCACCAATGCAGAAGGAATGAGTTTCCACCTTCCATTCCATCCATCTCCATTCACACACAGAATCCCAACATATAGTAGCAACTCTTTGCATTTCATATAAAATTATAAGGCAACAAGACGTGCACATGTAAAGAATTTATCGTTCTTTAGACAGGACAAGGAAGGAGAAAATTCATATGGTTTCAAAATCACAAATCTTCATGGACATGGTGCAGACGGTAGCAGAAAGCCATTGTGCAGGTATATATGCAATTGACTACGGCTGTATACAATACACTACTAACATCTTGGTCGCTGGAATGTACATAACAAATTTGCTTGGAATGGCAGCCATGGTGAATCGGAAAAAAAAGAACATGGTTGCTGGAGGAAGTAAGAAGATGACAGCAGAAAGTTGCAGCTGATACAACTGAAGCGATAAAAACTGCTTTGCCTAGGGCAGATATCTCTGGTTTTCTTTCTTCTGTGGCAAGTTTTGACACAACTTCTTTGATGTTTTGCTATCGATAAGCTGTCAAAAACGATCTAGTCTACCTTCCAACACTCAATTCAGGTCCTCACTCTCCATGCCAATGAAGTATTGGCAAAACATGAACACACACCCTGCACATTCAAAGAAGTTATGATTAATGTTCTATAACTACCAAGCAACTAGAACACACGATCAGCTTTTAGATCCAGCGATTCTATCATGAATTCCCAAGTTCACACCTCTTGGGAAAAAAGAAGACGAAGACTGTTTGTATGACCAGCAAAGTCTGAAGTAACTTTACCATTTCACCGCAAGCTGATATCGTTTCATGCATATGCTAGCAAGGGTTCTCTTGAGCTATCGTCATACTTGCTGCTGTAGTGATAGTATAATGCCAATTGAACTACCCCCAGAATTGTTCCAATTCCATTCGGTACCTGCATTAAGAGAGATGCCCAAAAATAACATTCGTCAGCATGATGCATAAAACCTGCAACGGGCTTGTAAGTTCTATCAGTCGGTATTGAATTGGCCATGTTGAACAGAACAAACCAGATGGTACTTTATAGACGTGATATGCAAGCTTAGGAAAGGAACTTTGAATAATGTCATCCAAGAGTGGAATTGTCCCATCACAAATATATGTTTGTCTATGTGTGCGTATTTTCATGAAGATTGGAGTAAACAAATGAAGAAAAAGTGTCACTTACAGATATGAAACCATCACCCTTAAGCATGCCATAAGCAAAAAATGAGAGACTCATCAAGAAGGTAGCAAGTGAGAGGAAGAACGGCATATATTCGACACTCCTAGTCTTCACCACCAGATTCTGTCCCCAAAGATAACCATCAAAACTGTTAGATTGACGTGAATGAACCCAAACATCTTAAAGCAAATGGAGTCAGAATGTAGAGATATTCAGCTTACAATAATAAAAAGTGGGGAAGCAAACATGGATATCAGAGAGAACACACTCAGATATCCAATGAACAACTGCCGAGTGTGCGAA